TCATCTTCAAGCTCTCATGAAGGGGCTTTAACCATGGAGGGGTTGCTTCCCAATTACATCCTGGGTTGAAGTCACTCCCATCTGCCTGGCTCAAAGCATGGCCACAGCTATTTAACATGAAACCAGTTAAAGGCTACAGATATGTTAAATGACCATGCCAGAGGTTAGCTGCAAAGCTGTTGCTATGCAAAACAGTTCTCAATGGCCCTGCTCCATGTGTCCCATCCTCCAGCTCAGACTGGTGGGGGTGAGGACATTATATATATTTTTTCTCTAATATTTCCTGAACACCCTGAGTTCTGGACCCCATTACAAATCCCTATTTTGGCCCCCCACATTGGCTACACCCTGTTACAGAATGTCAAACCTTTTGCAAATAAATTTAAATAATTTTGCCAATATTTATGAAAGGCTTCATCTGTGAGCAATGAGGCTAAAGCAGGGGAGAAAATACCTGTGTTAAAAGGTCAGTCTCCAGGTTTGAACATACACATTTTCTTTCTTTATTTCTGTTTATATTTAATATATTTTATTGATTATGCTATTACATTTGTCCCATTTTCTACCTGATTCCCCTCTGCCCTGTACCCCCACTCCCACCCACATTACCCACCCTTAGTTCACATCCATGAGTCATACATATAAGTACTTTGGTGTGTGTGTGGGGGGATCTGCAGGCCCCGCCCTCCCCCCCCCCCAGTTGCCACAGATGAGAATAAGTCTACCAAGACATGATCTGCTTGGAGAGGAAAGATGGCCAATCTCTCAAAGGAGAAAGGCCAAGAGGCTTTTCCTCAGTGGGCTTTTACTGAGTTTAATTTGCATAGGAATACAGGTAAAGCTCATTAATCATTGTCAGGCAGTAAGGATCAAACAATAGGTAATATACAAAGAACTCTGAGGACCTATTTTGAGTCAGGGTCAGATAGCTAAAGGGCCATAAAACTTTGGGGAACAAATTAACTTCCTGCTTGGACCCTTATCATTTAATGGAGAGCACTCTAAACAAAGCAAGTTTCACAGGATTTTAGATATTCTTTCTTAGGCCTGATTGCCCTAGGGAACCCACCCTTTCCAGCACAGGGCTGCACCCACCACCCGCATTGTTTCAGGCTTAAGTCAGTTAGGGCAAGTAAGGCAGCCAAGAGATTAGGAGACTTCTTGCAGACTGAATGAGGACTCAGGCTATGTCAAAGCCAAGGGGCGAGGGTCCATCACCCCTTTTCTGTAGCCCCCAAGTCTTTCCCCAGGGGCCCCCTGTGATCATGCCTGCCTTAGGTTGTCCCTCCCTGGAGAGATCTTACCCGTCATTAACTAGCCAATCAAGCATTGGGGACCAAGCAGGGTGAAATAAAAGGAGAAGAGGTGGTGCCCCTGCCAGGGAGATAAGCTTTGTCTCCTTAGTGGCTTGTGGTCCAAAGGTCACTCACTCAGCTTTAGCCATGGAGGGGGGGAGTGGTTACAGCTTCTGAAACTAGGCAGGGTGGTTCCCAACACTTTGGCTTCTCCATTTCCTATACTATTCTTAGCCTCCCCCTATCTATTTTGTACCTACCATTTATGCTGCTTATTCCCTGAAACTTTCCCCCCATTCTTCCCTGACCCCTCCCTGCTAATAACCCTCCATGTGATCTCCATTTCTCCGATTCTGTCCTTGTTCTAGTTGTTTGCTTAGTGTGTTTTTACTTTGTTTTTTTTTTTTTTTTTTAGGTTTGCTACTTGCTAGTTGTGAGTTTGCTGTCATTTTGTTGTTCATAGCTTTGATCTTCTCCTTTGTCTTAGCTAAATCCCTTTAACATTTTATATAATGAGGGCTTGGTGATGATGAACTCCTTTAACTTGATCTTATCTGGGGAGCACTTTATCTGACTTTTCATTCTAAATGAGAGCTTTGCTGAGTAGAGTTGTCTTGGATGTAGGTTCTTGCCTTTCATTATTTTACTTCAAATACTTCTTTCCAGGCCCATTTTTGCCTGTAAGTTTTCTTTTGAGAAATCAGCTGAGAGTCTTATGGGAACTCCTTTATAGGTAACTGTCTCCTTTTCTCCTGCTGCTTTCAAGATTTAATCTTGGGTAACTTAATAGTGATGTGCTTCTTTGGGTCCAACTTCTTTGGGACCCTCTGAGCTTCCTGGATTTCCTGGAAGTCCATTTCCTTTGCCAGATTAGGAAAGTTTTCCTTCACTATGTTTTCAAATAAATTTTTAATTTCTTGGTCTTCCTCTTTTTCTTCTGGCATCCCTGTGATTCTTATGTTGGAACATTTAAGGTTGTCCTAAAGGTTCCTAAGCCTCTCCTCATTGTTTTGAATTCTTGTTTCTTCATTCTGTTCTGGATGAATGTTTCTTTCTTCCTTCTGGTCCACACCATTAAGTTGAGTCCTGGTTTCCTTACTGTCACTGTTGGTTCCCTGTACATTTTCCTTTATTTTATTTTGCATCGCCTCCACTCCTTCCTCTATTTTGGGACCATACTCAACCATTTCTGTGAACATCCTGATTACCAATGTTTTGAACTCTGCATCTGGTAGGTTGGTTATCTCTTCATTGTTTAGGTGTTTTATTTCTGGAGCTTTGATCTGTTCTTTCATTTGGGGCATATATTTTTTTTTTGTCTCGGTGCACCTGTTATGTAGTAAGGGGTGGAGCCTTAGGTATTCAACAGGGCGGGGCAGCCCAGGTTGCTGTGTTGTGGCACTCTATGTGGGGGAGAGTGCTGCTTGTTATGTTCTCCAGTGCTTTCAGTCTGCTACCCATAAGCAAATTGGGCCAGCTAGTGCTAATTCACAGGTGGATGGATTTGTGTACATTCTTAGGACCCTGTGGATCTCCCCAGTAAACTCCCCATTGAACTCTCTCACAGGAGAGTTCAACGTACACAAACTCACTGGGAGTTTCTCCTGCAGTTTTTTTCAGTCAGAGGTTTTGAGGCTTTATTTTCCTTAGCTGGAACCCTGGGTTGCATGGTCTGTGTCACTCCTTGGTTGCTCCTCCTCGTTTATCTGCACGCAAATGTGGGACTGCCCAGTCTTCCAGCTGCTACCTTGCCATGAGTCCTCTCTGGCCTGGCTGCCCATCTCCACCCTTCCTGCTGGTCTGGATGAATGTCTCTTCTTTAACTCCTTGATTGCTGGACTTCCATAAAATGTGATTTTCTGGCAGTTCTAGTTGTTTTTTTGTTTTTAAATTTGTTGTTGTTCTTTTGTTTGTGTATCCACCTATGCCTCCATCTTGGCTGGAAGTCTGAACCTACACATTTTAGAGATTTGTGTTTTGTTTTCCTCTCTTTTCTCTTTGTGCCTCAAATTCTTGCCCATCTGCAGACATATGCTTCAGATGTTTTTATAAAAAATAAAACCCCTAAATCTACAGTGATATTTACCATGAAAATGCCCTGAAACACATAGCACAATTTAAATGTGTACCACATTTTAAAACATATGTTATATATATTATATACATACATGCATATATAAAACACACACACACACACATATATATATAGATATATATATATATATATATATATTCTTGTAGAGAATTTTCTGATGAGAGAGAAAGGATATAAGGGGCTCAGCAGGGAATACAGATTGTTTTTTGTGGTCAAACACACTAGTTAGAGGACAGACTGCAGTTCTGCCTCATAAGGTTTTGAATGCTTCCTTTTAGCAGTCAGGGCTTCAATGTCCTCATCTGAAAGTGAGGATCATAATAGTACTTAGTTAAAAAGAAAAATAAACAAAAATAATAGTACTTAGTTCATAATGGTATTTAGAGTATAAATGAGTTAATATGTATAAAGCCCTTGAAACAATGCCTGTCATATATTAAGTAAAGTATTACTTGCTGTTTTTATTTACAATTTTAGCCTAGGCCATGAAATTGTGTACAGAGTTTGACGTCACCCATTTCCCAGAACCACCCCTCCTTTGGGAATGTTTATAGTGCAGACCCTCTATTGCCAGCTCAGGTTTGCTATATACCCATCTGCAGTTCCTAAGGTTTGCAGTGGTATGACTGACTCCCATGGTGGGTTTGTTTTGTTTTGTCCTGCAGGTACAGCCTGCAATTTTTTCTCCTAGTACTTGTGCAGCCTGGTTAAAATTGAACGGTACCAACTGCAAACTTATATAACTGCGTCGACAGCATTGCCCTTAGAAATTTGCTCAGAACCATCCTAGTCGCCTAGGGAAACAAGCTGGTGATGTCACAAGGTATCACTCCTTTAGCTCTCCCTCAGGTCCCTTTGCCCAGCTTAAGGCAAGGCTCAGGTCTGTAAGCTCTGTCCAGCCTGAGTGCATTCTTGTCCTATCCCAGGCCACGCTGAGACTCTCACTTTCTCCCAGGAATGTCTGAACTCAGGTAGGTTGGAGTCAGGACCACACACTGCTTCTTTGGTCACAAGCTACTTGCTATGCTTCTTCTCTCCCAGGGTATAAAAACACCTAGGTGAATAAAGTGTCTGGGGCAGCCCTGGGTAGCTCTTGGTTTTTTAGGATATAGATACAAAATTAAAACAAAACAAAATAAAACCTTGGAAGTGCTCCTTGGAGGTCCAGAAGTTGGTTCAGATTTTATGGGTCATCAGAGACCTCAGTAGCGTGATTACAACATCCCTTCTCTTTATACTTACTTTCCCTCTTTGTCCTAAACATGCCCACAGTCTCTTCTTCCTGATTTACCAACCTGCTCCTCATTCTAAGAGATATTGTGACTTCCTTGTTCTGCTCAATGAAAAGGAAAGAAAAGAGCATGTGTTTCATCAGTTTAGTGGCACTTCATAAGGTTAGTTAACCATACACCTATCCCAGATTAATAGAGCAAAGTCAGCTCTGGTGTGGATCTCTGCCTTTAGGCAAATCTGCAGCTTATCTATAATCTAAATAGGGCATCTGAAAACAAATAATTCTGTCATCAAAGTTTTCAGGAAGGGAGCCTATAAGGAAAGCACAATTTGATCTTGTTGGAACTCTCACTCTCAAAGGTGTGTGTATTTTACAGCTCTTCGACTTGCTGTAGGACCTCAGCTCCTGCCCAGCAGAAGGACGCCGGGGGAAAACTAGTAAAGACATTCATAGTTCTGCTCTGGTCACAGCAAGCTATGACGAGGATTTCTACATGCATATACCACTTCCTTGTTTTGAACTGGTATGTTTTCCTCAATTATTACATCTCACAACAAGAAAAGGATAAGCAGAAATCCAAATTATTTCAAAATGGTGGACAATGGAAGTACTTGACAATGCTTAATCTGGTAAGTCCATATGAGCATCTCAGGAAGTAATTGATTTGTCTGTAATATTGGATCTTCTACATACATCACCTTTAAGTTTTTTTAAATCCAAAATTCCATTATTTCTATTCCTTCTTCATGATTTTTGAGTTTTGGCTTTCTCTTTTACCTAAAAGTTTACTCTGAGAACCCCCATTTAGAAGTTATTCACAGATACATTTTTTTGTGCTTGCTAATTGTTAAATGCTTTTTCGAAAAGAATCTTATTTGGGGGCTCTTCTCAGTTGATCTCAAATGGGGTGCTAAATCAATGTTTTCATCATTAGATTGACTACAAATACAATCAGGATTTTGAACTTGGCTTGGGGAAATCTGTGAGGCAGGCAGAATGGTGTGTATTGAATAGAAATGTAATTTCTTAGGGAGGAATAATGTCATTTTACAGCACACACATACTAACAAATTTATCTGAGAAAAGCAAATATATTTTGCCATGTCCGGATCCCACTTCTGTTTTTCATAGGCTCATGTCTCCACCTTAAAGGATGAAATCACCCAACCAAATGGCAAATGCAGATTTTCAATTATATTTACAAACCAATCACATGACTTGATCCCTTCTTGTCTTTCTAACCCTGATGACCACATTCTAATGAATAAAGTGTAAATGAATGGGAGAAATAAAAATTTTTAAAAATGTTTTGGGAACATATAAGCAGATTTTTAGAGTTAAAAGCTAAAAGTGTCACATTCTTTGGGGATGCTAATTAACATTTGATATGTTTAACTAAAATTTAGAGTGCTAATATCAATATCTGATTTCAGAAACTGGACAAAATATTCCAATCCTTTGGAATCAGACTCTGAAGCAGAGATATTGTGTATGGTCAGAAAAGTGACACTCTGAAATACTAAGGGTTTGAAATTCAGAAAGTTCAAATAAAACAAGCCTGGAGGTTCTGCTTCTCCTTCTCTGGTCATTTACTGGCTTTTGATTTTGGCTTGAAAAATCTGAAGCCTGAACACAGCTTTAGCTTGAAAATATCAAGGTGATAATTTATTTCAATCATAGAATTTTATAGGGGTAAAAGAAAACAACAAAAGAAAAGCTTTTGTGGAGCTAGAATAATACAATAAAAATGTCAGCTTTGTGTATTTGCTGGCTTTATGTTAAAAAAAAGATCAATGAAAAGAGAGCTGTGTCTGTAGCCAGAATTAACACTCTAAAGAAATCTAAATTCTAGTGTCCCACCTCACATTTATTATGGTTAAGAACAGATTTATCACCTACTCCCATAAAACAGCTCCCTGACTTCTTAATCCTACCTCAGTTTCATGCTTCAGAGCTCCCACATTTCTAAAAATAAAAAAAAAATCCACTTGTTTAGTCAGACATTATTATTTCCTAGTAAAATCCCCTAAATCCTATGTGTTTTCTTTGCTTGGTTCATCCCATTTTTACTCATCTTACTGCCTCTCCTGTCACAGGCTCTAATTCATTTTAACTTGGTTGGCCAGATCATCTCATTATCAGTCCACTCCAATCCAGATTAATCTTCCCAAAGCACTGTTTTTGGTTTGGTTTGATTTCAAACATCATAAGCCAGCTTGAGAAATGTGGTCTGCTACTCTAGAAACTACAGTGGCTTCCTTCTACCTTATGGGACCAATTCTAAACTACCCAGCCTTCACCCTCCCCCAAGGAAAGCTAGTCTCTTCCCCAGGAATGCCTGTGCATTCTCTAGTGCTGGTCCCCAGGTTTCTTGCTATAACTACTCAACCCATGTTCACACTATCCTTGGATAAAAGGCCTACCAGCTTCTCTACCACTTTGTTATTTGCATAGATCATGAGAAATCCCATATTTTCTTTTCTTTTTTTTATTTAAAATTTTTAATTTAATTGTTGTATAAGTACAGTTTCTGTCTTTTACTCCCATCCCAGCCCACACCCCCCAGTGTTCCCCACCTCCCTCCCATTTCCACCCCCCCCCAGTTGTTGTCCATGTGTCCTTTATACTTGTACCTGTAAATCCTTCCTCTTTTTCCCCTGAAGTTCCCTCCCCTCTCCCCTTTGGTCACTGTCCACCTACCTGGTCTCTATTTCAATGTGTTAGGTTATATTTTGCTTGCTTGTTTGTTTCATTGTTTAGCTTCTTGTTAAAGGTGAGATCATATGGTATTTGTCTTTCAATGCCTGGCTTATTCTACTCAGCATAATTGTTTTCCAGTTCCATCCATGCTGCTGCAAAGGGTAGGAGCTCCTTCTTTCTTTCTGCTGCAAAGAATTCCATTGTGTATATGTAGCATAATTTTTTGATCTGTTCATTTACTGCTGGGCACCTAGGTTGCTTCCAGCTCTTGGAGATTGTAAATGGTGCTGCTATGAACATTGGGGTGCATAGGTTCTTTTGGATTGGTGTTTTAGGGTTCTTAGGATATAATCCCAGCAGTGGAATTGCTGCATCTAAAGGCAGTTTCATTTTTAGTTTTCTGAGAAAATTCCATACTGTTTTCCACAGTGGTTGTACCAGTCTGCAATCCCACCAACAATGGATTAGGGTCCCCTCTTCTCCACAACCTCTCCAACACTTGTTTGTTGCTTTGTTTATGATGTCCATTCTGACCAGTGTAAAGTGGTATCTCATTGTGGTTTTAATTTGCATTTCTCTGATTGATAAAGATACTGAGCATTTTTTCATGTGTTTCTGGATCTTCTGTATGTCTTCCATGGAGAAATGTCTGTTCAAGTCCTTTGCCGACTTTTTCATTTGGTTGCTTGTCTTCTTAGAGTAGAGTCGTGTAAGTTCTTTGTATATTTTGGAGATTAAACCCTTCACTGAGGTATTATTGGCAAATATGTTTTCCCATATAGTTGGTCCTCTTTTTATTTTAATACTGTTTTCTTTAGCTGTGCAAAAACTTTTAATTTTGATGCAATCCCATTTGTTTATTGTTTCCTTTATGTCCCTTGCTCTAGGGCACATATCAGTAAAAATGTTGCCTCATGAAATATCTGAGATTCTCTTGCTAATGTTCTCCTCTAGAACGTTAATGGTGTCATGGCTTCTATTTAAGTCTTTTATCCACCTTGAATTTATTTTGGTGTATGGTTTAAGTTGGTGCTCAAGTTTCATTTTTTTGCACATAGCTGTCCAGTTCTTTCAACAGCATTTGTTGAAGAGGCTATTTTTACTCCATCTTATGTTGCTGCCCCCTTTGTTGAATATTAATTAACTGTAGAGACTTGGGTTCATTTCTGGGCTCTCTGTTCTGTTCCATTGGTCTATATGCCTGTTTTTATGCCAGTACCAGGCTGTTTTGATTACAGTGGCCTTATAATACAGTTTGGTATCAGGTATTGTGACCCCTCCTACTTTGTTCTTCTTTCTCAAAAGTGCAGCTGCTATTCAGGGTCGTTTCTGGTTCCATATAAATTTTTGAAGTGTTTGTTCTATGTCTGTGAAGTATGTCATTGGTACTTTAATAGGTATTGCATTGAATCTGTATATTGCTTTGGGTAGTATGGACATTTTGATGATGTTAATTCTTCCAATCCATGAACACGGTATATGTTTCCACTTGTTTGTGTCTTCCTTGATTTCTTTCTTCAATGTTGTGTAGTTTTCTGCATACAGGTCTTTCACCTCCTTGGTTAGGTTTATACCCAGATATTTTATTTTTGTTTTTGCTATATCAAATGGAATTTTTTTCTTGATTTCTGCTTGTGCTGTTTCATTGTTGGTATAAAAAAATGTCTTTGATTTCTGGATATTGACTTTGTATCCAGCTGTTTTGCCAAATTCATTTATTAGGTTGAGCAGTTTTGCAGTAGAGTCCATAGGATTTTCCATGTACACTATCATGTCATCTGCAAACAGTGACAGTTTTGTTTCCTCCTTTCCTATTTGGATTCCTTTTATTTCCTTTTCTTGTCTGATAGCTGTGGCTAAAACTTCCAATACTATATTAAGTAGAAGTGGTAAAACTGGACATCCTTGTCTTGTTCCTGATCTTAGTGGAAAAGATTTTAGTTTTAGCCCATTGAGTATGATATTGGCTGTAGGTCTCTCATAAATGGCCTTTATTATATTGAGGAATGCTCTCTCTATTTCCACTTTGCTGAGTGTTTTTATTATAAATGTGTGTTGTAACTTATCAAATGCTTTTCCCCATCTATTGATATGATCATGTGATTTTTGTCTTTGCTTTTGTTTATATGGTGTATTACATTTACTGATTTGTAAATATTGAACCATCCTTGCATCCCTGGGATGAATCCCACTTGGTCATGGTGTATGATCTTTTTAATGTATTGTTGGATGAGGTTTGCCAATATTTTGTTGAGGACTTTAGCATCTATGCTCATCAGTGATATTGGCCTGAAGTTTCTTTCTTTTTTGTATATTTATCTCGTTTCAGGACTAGGATGATGCTGGCTTCATAGAGTTTGGGAGTCTTCCATCATTTTGGATTTTTTGGAACAGTCTGTGAAGAATAGGGGTTAGCTCTTCCTTAAATGCTTTGTAGAATTCTCCTGTGAAACCATCTGGTCCAGGGCTTCTATGTGGTGGGAGATTATTGATTACTGCTTTAATTTCATTTGCTGTTATTGGTCTATTCAGGCTATCTGCTTCTTCTTCATTCAGTTGTGGAAGATTATATTTTTGTAGAAATTTGTCCATTTCACCTAAGTTTTGAAATTTCTTGGCAAGTTTTTCATAGTAATTTCTTACAATCCCTTCTATTTCTGTGGTGTCAGTTGTAATCTCTCCTTTTTTATTTCTGATTGTGTTTATTTGTGTCCTCTCTCTTCTTTTCTTGATGAACCTACTTAAAAGCTTGTCTATTTTGTTTATCTTTTCAAAGAACCAGCTCCTGGATTCATTGATTTTTATAGACTTGTGCTTTTAGTCTCTATGTCATTTAATTCTGCTCTGATCTTGGTTATTTCCTTCCTTCTACTTGCTCTGGGCTGTCTTTGTTGTTCCTTGAGTTCTTGTAGGCATAGGGTTAGTTTGT